CACTTATATGACAAAAAGAAAAAGTAGTTAAAAGTAACAACTTGAGAAAATAAAAAAAGTATGTAGAAGTAAGAATTTTTTTTTTTTTTTGCATATTAGAAACATAACGATAGAGTACATATTTATAAGGGTTTTATTTTGCCTAATTCTAATCCTAGTAGAAGTTGATTATTATTTTTTGGTAGTTTGAAGTTACTAAATTTAGTGTTAGGTTAGTATAGGACGTATTTATGGTAATGATAGCATACAAGTCCTAAATGTATTCGAGGATTTGTCAAAAATTTCAGTACAAAGGGAAATTAAAGTAGGAAATATTTGACAAGTAAATAGAGACGGAGAGAATATTAACATTTAAAGACTTAATTTAAATTATAATTTCTCTATTGCCCTTTGTGAAATAATAAATATAACTTTATAAATAGTGTAATTTATTTTCCAGAAATATAAAACTTCAATAAATAAAAAGACAAATATGAAAAAAAATAATCAAATACATATCTTCAATTTTGAACAATTAAATTATTTAAACAATAAAAAAAGCCACAAATATTCGGTTAATATATGTATTTGGAGCTTAAAAAGGTGAAAGCAACTTTATCTCCCCTCAACGTTGGGATAATTTTTTTTAATTCATTTCACTCTTTTCTTAATATTTCTATATATCAATTTTTATGTTAACAGATTTATTATTTATGTAAAGTTTTTCATTCATATATTTTATATATAATGTAAAATCTTACTACATTATTTTGATACTTTGACGAGACCGTCAAGTACACTAGCTAGCTACTGAGGTCAACAAAAATCAAGTCTAATCTTATATCTATCTAGGGACGATAGAATGTATATTGATTTTATTATTCTTATTAATTTTAGCTACGAATTTAGTCCCAAAATTTAAAATCGAGACAACTCATCTAATCCTATGAATCAGACAACTTACATTCTTATAGCCGTCTAGGGACGATAGAATGTATATAGATTTTATTATCCTTATTAGTTTTAGCTACAAATTTAATCCCAAAATTTAAAATCGAGACAACTCATCTAATCCTAGGAATCAGACAACTTACATTCTTATAGCCGTCTAGGGACAATAGAGTGTCGATGCAAACTGTCAACCATCAAAGTAGCACTATTTTGATCAAGTATGAAACAAGGTATTCCCATGAACATTGATTTCAAGAAAATAGACATTGGTCCTTCATCATTTATATACACAACCAAACATAAACATAAATCCTACAATGAATTAACAAAAATATATTTCATTATATTCTTTGTAATATTAACAAATGCTTACGTACAATTTCATATTTTTTTTCTTTTGTGCTATATATACTAAAATACCGTACATGTTTTCGGTACCTAGGGTATGCAACGTGAGCCATGTCCACGAGAAGAAGTTGGTGCATGGAATGTGGCGGACGATGCAGTATTATGAGGCCTTCATCTAGTTGCATTCTTCCTGGTTTCGTTAGGTGATCCGCATAACTATTCCCTTCCCTTAGAGTATGCATCATGGAGATCCCAAGTTCGGACAAAAGACGTCGGTACTCTTCTATCACATTATGATCGGGGTGATTGTCGACAACGCCTCCCTTACTTTTGAGCATCAATGCTTCATGAGAGTCAGTCTCGATGATGACGTTCTTCAGGTTGAAGTTCTTCGCCAGGGTCAGCCCGCCATGTATGTCCCACAGTTCCGCCGTGAGGCACGACGTTGTTACCACACCTAATCGCCCCACGAATCTTCCTAACCACCTACCCTTATTGTCTCTTACAATGCATCTGTATCCTGCTAACCCTGAGTTCTGCATAAAAGTTCCATCCGTGTTGATCTTAATGTATCCGGACGGAGGGAATGACCAACTAATGTACCTAGGGGCATCTCTTTGTCTAACATATCTAACTACGGATTGAACATGATCATGAGTAGAGCTGTCAAAAAGGGCCCGCCCAGCCCCACCGGGCCCAAGCCTCGAGGGCCAAGAAATTTGAAGGGCTAGGGCGGGTCGGTACTTCATTTGGTAGGGCTTGAAAATGCTCAACCCAACCCAACCCTAAAAGGGCCTAGGGCTGGGGCGGGATAGCCCTTCTGTTTTTCTTTATTATTATTTTTTTCTTTTCAAACTTATAATTCGATAACATCAAAAAAATGAGAAGATTTTCAAATAAAATATGACAAACAATGATGTTGTTTCAATAACACTAACAAAAATCTAGTGTAATTAGCATGTATCTTGCATACTGGATATGAGAGTGAGATAAGATAGTGACAAGCAAGATAGGAGAGAGGCGAGGGCGCGAGATTTGTATATGTATCCTAGATACATGCAAATCTACTTGGATAGAGTGTATTTAGAACAAATTAACCCAATTTTGAGTTCATATATTTCGAGATACTATCTAGGTACGAAGATTTATAATATTACAACATAGCATGTATTCAAATAATTAGATTATATACTAGTAAGATTATTGTAAACTACTCTTAAATAAAAAGTTTTGGCCCATGGGCTGACCCCGGCCCAGCCCTGATCAAGCCTCAAGGGTCAAAGGCTTATATGGGTCGGGCTTATAAGCCCTAGTTTTAAATGGGTTTGAAAAAATCTTATCCCAACCCTACCCCAATAACTGGTAGGATTGGGCAGGCCCCATGGGCTAAGCCCATTTTGACGGCTCTAATCATGAGGATAAGATGTGTATCCAATAATGGGGGGTTGAACATGATTATGAACATCAGTAACGTATCCAATAACGGGAAAATGGACATAGTGCCAATTATTGTCAGTAGGGACATATATTGCCATTTTTGTAAAGATAATAATAAAAGGGAAAATTGTATATAATAGCAAACTATTAATTCAAATTAAATACTATAAATATAGTTTGATTTAATTGTACCCCATAGCAAACTATTGCTATTTAACCTCTCTCCTGGTGAATCTCGCTCGCCACTCTCGTTCTCTCCCTCGCCTCTCTCGTTTTTTATACAAACGCAAGTGTATAAAGTGTGTTTGTGTTTGTATAAAGCGAGAGAAAATTGTATATATACATATATTTTCGTTCTCCTCTCTCCCCTCTCCCAGATCTCGCTCGCTACTCTCCCAGATCTCGCTCTCTTACTCGTCTCTCTCACTTTATACAAAAACCGCAAATTGTATAAAATGTGTTTGTGTTTGTATAAAGCGAGAGAAAATTGTATATATACATATATTTTCGATCTCCTCTCTCCCCTCTCCCAGATCTCGCTCGCCACTCTCCCAGATCTCGCTCGCCACTCTCCCAGATCTCGCTCGCCACTCTCCCAGATCTCGCTCTCTTACTCGTCTCTCTCACTTTATACAAAAACCGCAAATTGTATAAAATGCGTTTGTGTTTGTATAAAGCGAGAGAAAATTGTATATATACATATATTTTCGTTCCTCTCTCTCCCCTCTCCTAGATCTCGCTCGCCACTCTCCCAGATCTCGCTCTCTCACTTTATACAAAAACGCAAATGTATAAAATGCGTGAAAATTGTATATATACATATATTTTCGTTCTCCTCTCTCCCCTCTCCCAGATCTCACTCGCCACTCTCCCAGATCTCGCTCGCTCACTCGTCTCTCTCACTTTATACAATTGATCTTTTTGTATATGTATACCAAACCAGATTATACAACTGCTTTCTTTTGTATATGTATAGCGAAATATACATATTTATGTTTGCTATGGAGCGCAATTATGCAAAGTTTGATAAAGCATACAAATATGAATTTTGTGTTTGCTATATGTGAAAGTTGCTCATAATAAAATCACTTGTATGAGAAAAGAAAAAAAAGTAGCTAGAAGTAATAAGTTTGTTTTTGCATATTAGAAACTACTGGTAGAGTAACGTATTTATAGATTATTTTTTTAGCCTAATCCTAGTTGAAGTAAAAAATTTTTTTTTTTTTTTATAGTTATAAGTTACTAAAATTAGTGTTACGTTACTATAATATTTATGGTAATATCATGATTATTTATATCATATTTTGGTAAGTATTATTTTAATATCACACTATATGAAATAACTATTCCAAGAAAGTTTGGTTTAAGTATGAATTCATTTTAATTTTAGAGTTGTAGCGATGATTCTTTGCCGTGTTGCCATTTGCCCATTTCTATGGCAACTTTGTTAATAATATTAGAATTAGTTATGTTTTAAGGTACGTAGACTATATTCCTATCTACATTATATTTTTGTTATTTATCGAGTATGTTACGACAAATTCATTTAACACCACAAAAATCTCTATCTAGTTAATACTTTATTTATAAGCTTAAAACGTAAGTTCACTTTTGAGGACGTACTCAATTTCCTTTTACAAATTTTTTGTATTTTGTAAATGGAATTTAAGTAAAATCTTAAGAGGTAAACTATGTATTAAACCTTTTTCCATAATCAAAGAGACTTTAAACTCAAGGATTAACGCACAATTTCAAAAAACTTGATGGATAATGAAATCGCAATAACAAGATATCTCCATCAACACAAAAACCATCAAACTTGTCAAAGATACACACTCGAACTAAGCTCTACCTCATTGACTCTTTCAATTCAATTTTTTTTTGTGAACACCGGATAATATAATCAAAGAGACTTGAAACTCAAGGGTTAAGTCACATGCGATTTCAAAAAAACTTGATAAATAATGAAATCGCAATAACAAGAGATCTATCAACACAAAAACCATCAAACTTGTCAAAGATACACACTCGAACTAAGCTCTATTTCATTCACACTTTCGAATCAATTTTTCTTGTGAACACCAGATAATGAGAGATCTCCATTGACACAAGAACCATTAAGCATGTCAAGATACACACTCAAACGAAGCTCGATTTCATTGACTCTTACAATTTGATGCATATGTTCACATTCATCAATTAGAAATAAGAAATTTGAGTCTTTAACACATTGATGTTTTCATTCATTGCTCAATCATTTGTATACACAAAAACAAACATAAACCCCAAAATCTACTAAACAGCTAAGAAAACACTAGTAAATCCTTAATACTATTCCAGAAAAAGAAGAACAGAGCTATAACTAAGAAAACCCAAGTCTTGAATTTGTTTAATCTTCATCAACAGATGGCTTTGAACCACCGGTTTTCTTTGGAAGCAAAAGGTTGTGAATGTTGGGCATCACACCACCATTGGCAATTGTTACGTCTCCAAGAAGTTTGCTTAGTTCCTCATCGTTCCTCACTGCCAATTGAATATGCCTTGGAACGATCCTAGTCTTCTTGTTGTCCCTTGCTGCATTTCCAGCCAATTCAAGAACCTGCAAATAACAAACACTGGAAAATCAGAAACACAAAAGACGAAAAACTCATTGGTTTATCGAATTATCTATCAATCCCATATGAATATCAGTGAATTCGCTACCAATAGAAAGCTCAAGACAAACAGATCTAACCATTTTTAGGTATAGCAGCAACAATGAAGATACAGACATACAATTTTCCTCTTTGATAATGACTTATTCAAACGATTATCCTTCATACAACGAAATCTCAACAACAACATACCCAATGAAACAATTTCTGTATTGAAGTTCAACAAATTAGATATTAATATACAAATTAACCAAATATTAGACATTTGGAACCCCAATCACTTAATTTTTTGGCTTCTAAACCATCTGTTTCTTTAAATTGAGCTCTTTTAAGCTCAAATTAGGCTAATTTGAGCTCAAATCCCAAATTATCAAAGCTGAAAATCTACCTAAACCATAAGAATTCCAAACCATAGCAGTTGATTTATACAAATATTAAACAATTTAAAAGGCAAATAACAAACTTAAATTACTAGAGCTAAAAATCAACCTAAAACGAAAGAATTGCAAACCCTAGCAGTCAATTTACACAAAAATTAAACAATTAAATAGGCAAATAGCAAAATTAAAACTATCAGAGCTAAAAATCTACCGAAAACAAACGAATTACAAACCCTAGAAATCAATTTAAACAGGCAAATTCCGAAATTAAAATTACTAGATCTGACAATCTACCCAAAACAATTCCAAACCCTAACAATCAATTCACACAAAAACTACACAATTAAATAGTCAAACAACGAAATTAACCTCAGCAGCAAGGTACTCCAGAACCGCAGCTAGATAAACCGGAGCTCCAGCACCGACACGTTCAGCATACTTCCCGGCTTTCAAAAACCGAGCAATACGACCAACCGGAAACTGAAGACCAGCTTTGCTACTACGAGAAGTAGCCTTTTTTGCTGTTCCTGAACCTAGGGTTTTGCCTCTACCAGCCATTAATGGAGAACTTTTTTGAGTTTTGAATTTTGAAAGCAAAAACTGAACTGAGAATAATGTTGATTTTGGTAAGTATATATATAGATGGAGGATTTTGAATTGGACCAATAAGAGTAAATCACGCGGATCGTGATTTTAAACCGTTGGATTAGATGGGAATTAACGGTGAGATGAGAAGGATCAGGGATGAAGAGTTCGGCGTTTTTTAGAGACGGATATATCCTTATTAGTTTACTGTATTTACGATATGTTTGCCATTATTACTAAATAATTAAAATGAAATTTTTTTAGTCTCAAAATAAATATTTTATAATATTAGTCATTTTAGGAATTTAAGATAATGATTTGTAATTATTCTTAATTATACTCTTGTATTAAAGAATTAAGTAGTGATTAATAGGAGTTACTTAGATACTTAGTAAATGATGATATTTTGTATTTTTTTATGGACGTTGAAAAAGTTAAAACAACACTTATTTTGGGACAAAGGAAGTAGTATTACCCACCATGGTGGGTTGTCCATTTTTGTTGCATTGGTTGAGATAAAAAACACACTGGTGGAATAGATTGATAACTCTTTAAATTTGTTAGTAAAATTTATTTAGATATTTGAAATATGACATATTCTAATTGAACATACATGAACATATGATGAGGTATTACTATTAGACACTTTCGACTAAACAAATTGGATTTTTGTGTGTGTATTTTTAAGCGACTATTGTGTAGATAATTAACATTAGTCATAAAAAGGCTTGTAGTGTATGTTTTTTTTCGTTCCAATTATCCTCAAACTAAAAAAAGAGCAAAGTTCAATAATAAGAAAAAACGAAATGAGAAAGAACCAGACCACAAGGATCTATTGCACACAGTTTTTACATTGCATTTCCACAAGTACGTATAAAGTCAAAAATGATTTTATTGACGTATAACAAATGTTGAACCCCCTTAATTCCTTACGTATGTTTACTTTATGTTTCAAATCTCTTTAATGAAAATCGTAACGTTGCCACAACCAACTGTCTATCAACTTTGGGACAAAAATATTCATTGTAGTCGCATGAGTGGGGTGTGTCCATTTTTATTGCATTGGTTGAGATTAGAAAAAAAAAAGATTGAATAGATCGAATACTCTTTAATTTTATTAACGTATAACAAATGTTGAACCCCTTTAATTCCCCACGTATGTTTACTTTATGTTTCAAATCTCTTTAGTAAAAATCATAACTTTGCCACTACCAATTGTCTATCAACTTTGGAACAAAAATATTCATTGTAGATGATGTTTATATTTTGCTTCAATTGCTGATGATGTTTAGTAGTTTCATTTAAGAACTTACTACTATGTACATTCTAGACTATTGACTTCCACATAGAAGTTGTTCTTATCAAATAAAAAGTTCTTCGCTTAGAAAAGTGTTCCTTCTCTTCAACTATACGTTCAGATTTATTTATATGATCATACACGTAAGTAGAAATGCAACTTTATCAGCACCTCCGCAATATTGCATGTGAGCTAGAGATGCTGTTTGTTACCAACTATAAGGATAACACAGCCTGTTCTGTTCAAGTATCTACCAGCAATTTTCCGCATTTCAGGAGGCAAACCAGAAAGGTGAAGAATGTTAAATCTTCTAACACAAAAAGTACGTAATGATAGGACAGTCAACACATGCCTAATATATCAATATTTGAAGACGAAAGAAGAGGATTAATCATAGGGAAGTAAAATTGAAACAAAGACAGTTCATTCTGAAACTCGCAAAACCAAAGCATCAGAACATATAGATCAAACTACATTAAAAGTAATCCGTGAAACTATCACTAACCCCAGGTAAGATGTCATGTGGCAGCCGCACCACCCTCAACTAACTATACATTAATTGACCAATTTAAAATGGCATAATACATATATTGGATCCTAAACTTGGCTTCAAATTTTAACTTTGACCTCCAACTTTCATAGTGCACAAATAGGCACTTTAACTTGTATAAAATAGAACAAATAGACACACATGTCCTACATGGCATCCTACATGTCATTTTTTGTCCTACGTGGTGTCCTACGTGTATTGTGCCATGTAGGACTCGTGTGTTTACTTGTTCTACTTTATACAAGTTAAAGTGCCTATTTGTGCACTATGAAAGTTGGAGGTCAAAGTTAAAATTTGAAGCCAAGTTTAGGATCCAATATATGTATTATGCCTTTTAAAATACACGCACACACTAAGTTCATATCCACTATCACATAGTAGTTACAAGTGTAGTGATAATTCATTCACACCCATTGACTAAACAATCTTGCATCTAGATTTGTAGTAATCTCTTCCATAGGCTAATTGGTGAAGAGAATTTCCGATGTTGAAAGTTATAGTCCCCACAACTCAATTTGTCTGGTAAACTACTCAGAATAAAAATGACATACTCTAAGCAACTTTCCTATGCTGGTAGACTACAGGTGATTAATGCTGTGCTTTTCTCAATTCACAGTTTTTGGGGGGCAGTGTTTATTCTTCCCCAGAGCATTCTAAAGGAAGTTGATCAGATTTGTCGAGCTTACTTATGGGGTAGTAGTGCAGAGAATAAGAAAGTCGCATTGGTTGCATGGGATACAGTGTGTTTTCCCAAGAGACAAGGAGGATTGAATATTAAGGGCTGCATCAATTGGAACAAAGCATCAGTGGGTCATTTACTGTGGCAAATAATTGTGAACAAAGAGGCACTTTGGGTTAAATGGGTCCATGGTATATATATGAAGACTGATTCTATATGGAACCACAAACCTCCCACTGATAGTAGTTGGTATTGGAGGAAAATTACTGCACTTAGAGAGGAAATGCAGAGTTGGTACAATCAAGGAAGATATATGTTAACTCTTAATGGCACCTATTTTATTTCAAAGAGTTATTTAGCAATTATAGGATATAAACCTACATGGAAGTTGGCTGCACTAGTGTGGACGTCAACGGCACCTCCTAAACACAGATTCTTAATGTGGTTGGCTGTCCAGGGAAGACTACTTACACATGAGAGAAAGCGTTGATGATACTGAATGTTGTTTATGTGCTGAGAAAGTAATGGAGACCACTGTTCACTTATTTGAGAAATGCAAATGGATATCGACTGTGTGAAAAGCAATGAATCACTGGACTGAAGTTTCTGTGCATAATATTGGTATAATGAAAGCTCTGGAATGTATAGATGGGAAACACTGGAAGCTATTTCAAAAAGAGATCATGGCAGCGATATGTGGAGCTATCATTTATCACACTTGGTGTGCCAGAAATTGGAGGCGATACAAAGGCACATGTGTACAGACGGATGAGGCAATTGCACAGATAAAGAAGGAAATCAGAGAAAGGTTACAATTACTTAGTAGTTCCAAGAAAGCAATGAAATGTAAGAATTTTATTCAGCATTTAATGTGTATTTAGTTTTCTTATGATTTGGTAGGAGGCCTGTTCTTTGTTATCAGAGAAAGGTGCTCTTCATTCGTATTCGTACATTTTGTTGGTTATGGTAATATATTTACAGTTGTTACCAAAAAAAAAAGTATTAATATTAGATAGAGAGAGTGATTTCTATTGCAGAAAAAAGAAAAACTTTACACCATAATATTATACAAGAGTTTTAATTGAAATGAAATTTTACAATAACAAAGAGAGCCGGAGGTGGATTAATTAGTCCAAATATCAAATCAAGAAAGGGGCCGGAATCATTGCAGCAAGGCAAGCTATCCTGGAGAACCTAAAATGAAAAAATCAACAACATGAAAATTAGAAAATCATCGAACTTTACTGATCTGACTAATTTATACTAATATTTATCCAAGATAAGATAAACAAGAGAAAGCCGCAATACATCTCCATCATCATTTTTGGGTGTGATTAATTAGGTTAAAGAAAAATACGAGAAAAGATCATTGATCCGATACAGTGAAATTAATTCTCAACATTGAGGGTAGCTCACTTGGTGAGTTTTCGATTTTCTACTGTTGAGGTGAAAGGTTCAAACTCCATCAATAGCGTAGTGTCTCCTTCCCCTCTCGTAACTTAAGTTGTATGTATACGTATTTAAATAAAGAAGGATAAAGAAATGTGCACATTATTCCGACTTTCAATAGTTGTTGTTAGTCACAGTGATCAGCTCTAGACGAATTTCTCGGTGCGGGCCGCGAGAGTGGTACCAAATCGAGGCAAACTCTGAATACTAGATATGACCTCAAAATAACAGGGGGGCAAGGTCGGCTAGTGAGACGATGGGGGATAAGCCTTATCGTCGATTCCTTATAGTCATTTCTTTTTTTAGCTTTTCTATCGTGACAACTCTTGTTCCCCACCTTTTAGCATTCTGGGGCCCTACGATGTATTAAAATGTGAGTACCCTTTCTTCCACCTCCGAAAAATGGAGGGGTATACAGTGAAAAAGCGTCGAAGGGGTCGGATCACTTGGGTTACTGAAGTCATAAAAAACAAGTTTGTTGACTATTACGAAAATACTCAAACATTTCATATATCAAATATTTTCTATTATGTATAAAATAATTTCAATCAACTTCCTCTATACCTGGATTTACCATTACGATAATGAGGGAGTTGATTGACAGACCGCGAAGCATCTACCGCGGCCTTCTTCTTCAAATTCCTGCCGGAATTAGTTACCACCATTCTCGGCGGTAGAACATGATCTGCATCTTCCGATATGGAGTAAAGAGACGGTTTCCATTCAGGGAATGAACCAGCTGATCTCGCCGATCCTCTTCTCCTCCGTCGCCTCCGTTTATACATAATAATGTTGTTAATATCGAACGATGCTACAGAAGCTGTAGGTACAAGGATCTCCTCTTCCTCTTCAGTGTGATGTGCACGTTTCGATGAACAGCCACAACACGATACAAGTTCAACGAAAAACTTCATATTTACCAGGTATGTATGTGTGTATAAACTTAGAAATAATGATTGTACGCAAGGTGTTTGATAAAATGTCGAAGATAAATTGTGCTAAAGTTGTTTGATAAAATGTGTGTGACGGACTGCACAGAAGATGTTTAATAAAATGTGCATGATAGAATGCCCCAAAGGTGTTTGATAAAATGCGTAAAGAAAATGCCTATGATAGATTGAATGATAGGTGTTTGATAAAATGCCTATGATAGATTGCCCGGGAAAGTGTTTGATAAAACGCGTATAATAGATTATCCCGGAAAGGTGTTTGATAAAATGTCTTATGATAGATTGTCAGAGAAGTGTTTGATAAAATGCGTATGATAGATTGTTGGAAAAGTGTTTGATAAAATGTCTTATGATAGATTGCGGGGAAGATTTGTATACTTGATAAAATGTGTATGATAGATTGTTGGAGAAGTGTTTGATAAAACGCGTATAATAGATTACCTTGGAAAGGTGTTTGATAAAATGGCTTATGATAGATTGCAGGAAAGATATATACTTGATAAAATTGTGTATGATAGATTGCCGGAAAAGTGTTTGATAAAATGTGTAAGATAGAAGTAAATGTGTGTATTTTCCTTTCTTACTTTCTATAGATCTCTCTGTTTACGTCTCTTTTCCCCCTCCGACTCTCTTTGTACAACGCGCTCTCTTCTCTTTCTCTCTATGTTTGGATTTGGGAAATGTTTGTGTTAGTTTGGCTCAAATGGTTTTGCGAGAAGTGTGGAGACATTATAAACAAGGATGGTTGGTGAGTTTCCTACTATTAGAGCCAAATATTATTAATTGTGGTGTAAAACTATTGGCTTAATACATAGTTTACCATGTTGCTTGGACTCGTCAGAAATGTCAATGTATGTTGGATCCTTAATGAGCAATGCATTTTAGAGGATCCAACATGGATGTGGGGCTAACACTTTTTAAGAGTTCGAGCAACATTACCCTTGATACACGTCACTTAAGTATGCATTCGTGTCTCTTTTGTGTGTCATGTAGTAATAAAATGGAGTGTTTTAGACGTAGTTTTGACACACGGTAGCGTGTAAGAGAGATATCTCTACAAATTCGCGGATAAATTATGTATTATTTACGAATTACTTTGCATTATTATCGTAATAATTTTTTTAGAGGTGGTATATGTTTTGTGGTCTATTGCTAATATTTTTAGTTATATGATTAAATCATTCTTTTTGTTAGAGATACGTAAATAAAATATGAGATTTTTAACCGACTAAAAAGGAAAATATGGTGATTTCTAGTGTTTGTTCTAATGAGAGATAACAAACATCCAATGAAATAGCTGAGATGTGCCCAAGCTGACCTGAATACCGCTATTGGAACAAAGGAAAAAAAAATGTAATTATAACATTAAATCTAATTAAATATAAACTTTGCCGGCCAACAGAAAGTCAAGAAAGCTAATTAATTATTAATTAATTAAAGTGCAAGATAATAATTTATATTGAGTAAGTGGATATCCATTATTATCACCAATAAATCCGAAAGAAACATGGCTAATTATTTTCATCTACAAAATATTGTTTATGCTTAGATGTTCATATAAAGAAACCTTCGTTGCTTGCACATTAGACAGTAAATAAACTCACTTGTTTAGATGGAAGAGTCTATTTGAGGAGATCTGATTTGATTCTGAATAAAAAAATTCACAATATGAGGAGGTAAACCCGTTCCCCCGACACCTCCCAACGTCTAAAAAGAATAGTGTACAAAGGTAAATAAATAGAAGAGTGAGGAGGGATTTTTTGGCAAATCAAGACTGATTAGCTCGCTCATGAAAGGTAGAGAAGTTGTTTCCGAAAAACCAGAGTGAAGTCACAGTCCAAGAATAAAGCACATGAGGGGAATAGGTAATAAAATTCACCAAACAAGGATCATGAAATCAAAACTTACTAAACATCCCAACAAAATTTAGCATGTTATAACTTTACTACAAAATGGTTTTTAACTGAATACTTAAAAATTGATCAGGATAAAATAACAAGATAGAAAAGTAACAAGTGAATGGCATAATCACATTCCATAACATCTGAAATACTTCTAACAGACAGTATGGCCGTAGTATAACCACATTCCGTAAAACTAACAGATAAAGACATAGGATGTAGCATGACAACAAAAACTGTCATTGCAGCAATCACAATCACAGTTCATTTGCCTAACTCAAACCAGAACATCAATTTTACTCTCAATTTCAATTCACTTCCAAAATTCTAATCCTAACCCTAATTCCGGTTCAATCCCGAAGCATTTCCATCCCTTCCCATGAGGAGAAGACAAGGTAGGCCAGGCAGTAAACTGCCTTTGTGCCAAGTATCCAGTAATTTTCCCGGTAGTGCCAATGAAGAACAGTCTGCATTTCTATTTTCATCTTCTTCAGATAAGTTTAGCAAACCCCGAGTAAAAAATTCCAATTTCACAAACACAAATGTTAATTCTTAGGTGCTTAAAAGTATAAATTCCAGAAGGTGAGTTGTTGCTGATGAGAATATTTCAATAAACAAAGAGCCAACTTTTAAGGCTTTAATTGCATTAACTGCTGGATTTTCATCCGAGTCGTTAACGACTGACGGAAGTGAAATTAGGGTTGTTTCTGAATATTGGCGGGATAGAACATGATAACTACATTCTAATCAGAAATCCTATTATTACCAAATGGCATGAAAATGTGTCGATTTGGGTGACAGAAGATATGTTTGTTGATGTTATACCTGAACACTATAATGGGCTATTAGATTCTGCGTAGAACTACATGTTATCATATGGATATATTAATTTTGGGGTGGCATTGGCAATTAAGGACAAGATTCCAGCTGAGCCAAAAAAGGGCGAAGAGACTGTTGTCGGGGCAGGTCTTACTGGGTTGGCGGTTGTGAGACAACTGATGTTATTTGATTTTGAGTTTACTGTTTTGGAGGGACGAAAGTATGTAGGTGGAAGGGTGTACACAAAAAAAAAGATGGAAGGAGGGAATAAGGTGGCAGCTGCTGATTTAGGAGGAAGTATTTTGACAGGTACACTAGGGAATCCACTGGGTCTGTTGGAACGACAGTTGTTGTATACACTTCATAAGGTGAGAGACCAATGTCCACTCTACCGTGCTAATGGAAATCCCGTAGACGAGTATTTGGATACAAAAATGGAGGTTGCTTATAACTCACTTTTGAATAAGGAAGCAAGCTCAAGCAAGAAGTTTTCTCAGGACTAGAAGCACAGATCCATAACCACTACCCAGTGGTTTAGACCCAATGTTGTCATTATGAAAATATACAAACCTGGAGGAAGTGACATCCCTTTAGAAGGGCCAATTTCTTACTTGCCAGAGGCGTAGAGTTAAAGCAGCTCGCTACTACATTAGTTCTAATATCCCCAGCAGATAAAGTGGTTCCGTTGCCTCTGCCAAAGTTTTTAGCCATCCTGAGAAACAAGTTAAAAATGGGATTCATGAAGAAGCTGAAACTCTGAACAAGAAAAAGAAATAGGAAAGATGAAGCTAAAGAGAGGTGGGGAAGGACTTATACCCGACTATTTTTTACTTGACAGTGGCTACTCTTGACTTTACAACACTTGTTAAGCACAAAATATAAGAAATGTTAGCCTCAAATCTAATATATGGCACAGTAAAAACAAAACATGTTTGTATGATTAACACGAAACTTCAAGGCAAAATATTACAAGCTCAAATTGATGAATAGTGAATCTTATTTTCTTGTTGCTTTGGCATGTTATTGTTGCCTCTTTTTCATTGTTCGCCCAGCCAAAGGTCTATTGGAAACAATCTCTCTACCTTCTCAAGATATGCGTACATTCTACCTTCCTCGGACCCAACCTGTGGGATTATTGGGTTTCTTGTTGTTGCTAAAGGATAAATATCCCACAATTATTACCTCCGCCTTTTGTTATCCAAATACTCGTGTATAGGCTTTCCATCAGCATGATAGAGTGAATATTGGTCTCACTTTATGAAGTGTATACGACAATTGTCGTGCCAATAGACCAGGCGGATTCCCTAGTGTACCTGTCGAAACAATCCCTCCTAAATCAGAAGTTGTCACCTTATTCCCCCTTCCATCTTTTTTGTACACCCTTCCACCTACACGCTTTCGTCCCTCGAAAAACAGTAATTTCAAAGCCAAATGATATCAGTTTCCTCGCAGTCGTCGACCCAGCAAGACGTGCCCCGATAACAATCACTCTGCCTTTACTTGGCTCAGCTGAAATCCTGTCCTTAATTGTCAAATCCACCCAAAAATTAAAATACCCATATCATAACAAGTAATGTAGAATTCAATAACCCACTACGACGTTCACATATAACATCAATAAATACATCTTTCGTCACCCTAATCCACACATTTTAATGCCATCGGGAAATAATGTGATTTCTAATTAAAATGTAGTTATACTATTCCACCCCGCCAACTATATAAACAACCCAAACTTCAATTCTGTCATCCCTTAACGAGTCAGACATAAATCCAGCCGTTAACCCAATTAAAGCCTCAGAAGTTAACTCTTTGTTTATACAAATAATCCCATCAGAAACAACCCACCTTCTCGAATTTATACTTTTAAAATCAACATTTTTGTTCGCAAAATTGAAACTTTTAACTCGAATTTCGCTAAATTTACATGAAGAAAGCAATGCAGACTGTTCTTCATTGAAATTACTGGATACCTGCTACAAAGACTGTTTACTGTCTGATCTACCTCGTCTTATATTCATGGCAGGGGATGGAAATGATTCTACATTGAACCGGAGCTACGGGTAGAGTTAGAATTTGAAATTGAACTGAAATTGGGAGTAAAATCAAGGGTTTGAGTTAGAAAAATGAATTTTGTTGATTGATTTCTCTGCTTTCTGTAACTGTTTTAGCAACGGAGAAAACGAGGACGGGATCGGAGAAGATGAAAATGGGTGATCGGAGAAAGATGAAAATTGATTGTTTCAACTTTCTTGGTTGTAACGAAGTGAAGAAGAAAGGGGGGAAAATGGCTTGTTGAGAATGAAGGAGAAAAAGAGGTGTAATATAAAGAACTAAGTGAC